TAAATGCATCCCCCCCCCCCCCCCCCCCCCATCGGCGAAACCCTGGCTACGCCACTGCAGAGGAGTGTCAAATTCTTCACATTTGGAGAACATATATTTCTATAGTCTATCCGGTCCAACTTTGCCACACTTTTAATCCCGAAAGGAGTCGTTAAATGCAATCCATCTTCCTCTCCCCCGAGGGGAGAGGGTGTTTTCCCTTCGACTCCTCCGCCAGACACTGGCGCGACGCTCCCGAGGGGTTGGGGGGCATCACGCATGAACACGTATGGCTTTAGAAATCTCGATGAGATGCCCGACGAGCGCCAGGAACATCTCGGTCCGCCGACGATAGCCTCGGGCCCCTGTCCGACATTTTGACAGCCCGATGACGGCACAAAATCGACGAGCCATCGTAAAACAGGCGATGCCGGCGTGGCAAAGTCGAACCGGATGGACCATACTGCGAAATTCGCACCCGGGCCGAATCGGACTCGACCCTTCTCGATCGCGTGAGAAACTCGGACCCGCCCCGAAGCGACACGAAAGAAGCGTGGAGATCGACGAGACTCGCGTCTCCCTTCCTCGCGTCGCGCATATCGTCATCGGCTGCCTCGAGACGAGATTCTCGACGAGGAAAACCGGACTTTCGAGATGCCGGCGAGAGACGAGAGCCGGAATCTTCTCCGTCGCTCGTTTCTTTCCGTCGGCACGAAACGAATGCGCTCGCGCGTCGCGAAGTGCATCTCGTCGCGAAGCTCACGACGGAAAACATCGGCGATTCGACGGCGAGAGTTCGCTCTCGCTTTTTGACTCGGACAACGAACCGCACTCGGTCCGCACTCGAGAGCGAACGACGTCACGCCGGACGAGAGGATTCACCGCCGAGACGACCGGAACGTGATGCCAGCCACGGAGGAAGGATCGAGGACGGATCGGAGACGGAGCCTTCGCACTCCGAGAACGACACTTGCGATGGCTCGAAAGCGCTCGAGGGAACACCAGATGCAAGGTTCAGATGGCTCCACATCTGTCGACCTCGAGTCCCTCCGAGTGACGAATGCGATCGAGTCGGGGTCGGTCGGGGATGGTCGGGGATGGCTTCGTCGCGATCCGAGAGCATCATCGGATTCAAATCGATTACGGTTTCTATCGGTCGACGATCCGACTCCAAATCGTTCGTTTGGGCTCCGGTCGTAAGTGACGACCGGCATCGAAATCCAGCCGTGCAAATTGCGACCGGGGCGCGTCCGGATGGAGTTCGCATGCGGCAACTTTCGATGCCTTGCGCGACGACGATTCCTGGACGGATCGGAAAACTCTTCCCTTCGACGTACGGAGCCTCGCGGAGAGTAAACGGGCCCGTTCGGGCGTCGGGGATCTCCATTTCCTTTCCGCGATCCTCCGTTCACCGTTCTCCTTCGGCGGTGACAGAAAGGGGACGATGCGAACTGCAGGTCGTCGGTTCTCGACGATTTCCATCGTCTCCACCGCCCGAGGGAGTCCACGGATGGAAAACCGACGAGAGGCCCGACCGCCCGACTCTCTCGTTCGACGTCGAGGCGGATCCGTACGATCGTCCGACGCGTACGAACGCGAACGCGACGAGCTCTTTCCCGTACGCGAGGTGTCGCCGGGTGTCGCACTTCGCTCGAGTCTCTCGAGTCCCACGCGTTCGATCGCCCGGGTCGCCCGTCCGTCGGATCGGGGGCGTGCGACCTCCACCGGAGGCGAGCCGCACGAAAATCTCCGATCTGCATGCCCGGTCGTCGAATCCAAGAGTAGAGCGTTTCCCTGGGGGTGCAGCGAACGACGACTCTCACCCGCTCTCACCCCTTCCAGCCCCTCGGAGATTCCGCCGTCCAAAAAAAATGGGCTCGTCGTCGAAGACGTCCTTCCTCGGGACGTTCGCGACACCGCCCGCGCGAGGATCGATCGAGGGAAGGAAGCGAAAGGACTCACGGTCTCGTTCTTACCGATCGCTAAGAGACGACCGAAGTCGGGACGGGCCGCGGACCGCAAGAGGAACCCGTCCGACGACGCGCGACCGGACCTCGGGTCGTCGATCCCTCCGTCGGATGCAGACGAGCCTTCTGCCCGCCTTGGCAGGGGCTTCGTCGCCATCGCATATCGTGCGGGGGCTCGTCTCGTCTCGTCTTCCGTCGGCCTGCCTCGATCGAAACGGTGGATTCCGGAAGAGACTCGGATCGGGCATTCGATTCTCATCGCTCGCGCACGGTTTCGAGACTGCACACGAGGACGGCCCGAAGACGTGCATTTCCTCATTCATCTCTCAAATCGAGTTCGAATGCGATTTTAAAAAAAATGTTCGCATCTAAAATGCGATCGAACTCGAAAAAGTGCGTTTGGTTCCTCCTGCTCTGCCGTTCTCGACCGTATAGGCTAGGCCCATGGTGTCCGATGCGTTCGCCACTCGCTAAGGTGAATCGGCTATAGATACGTGGCGAATTTATGCTCTTCATCGGTGATAGTGTTTTTCGAGTGCATTCTTTTTATATTGCATATATTTTGTATCGTGCGGCGAATGTGGCGACCGGATCACCACAAGTTCGGCGAGCGTCGAAATCCTATCGGATGCCAAAGGGCTAGGGCCGCTAGGCCATCAAAATCGAAAGAAGCCGAAAGCGGTGGTGATCGGTTCTCACTCATCGGCAAGTCTAACGCGTTAAGTACTACAAGGCCGTGCCGTAAAAAACGTTCCTACACTTTTAATCTACTTTTAAAAGACTCACTCTATAAATGGGAATTGCTACAGGGTGTGTTAAGAGTCCTCTCCACTTTTTTAAAGTTAATTACTTCGTAACGCTAGATTTGATGGTTTACACCATTCGAAAGAAGAAATTATCCTCTATCGAGTAAAAATTGTCTGTATTTTTGGTCGATGGTTTCTTTTTTCCTGAGACGTAATTAGAATTCTTTTTCGGAGGTCATTTAAAGGAGTTTACATTTGAAAAGACGCCTGCGACGCCGAGTCACGTTGTCTGTCGCGTGTCCGATAGATTCCGTATCCAATGTGGTCCATTCCGATCGAAAGGAGTGAGAGGGAAACGACCGAGGAACGTTTCACTGTCGATAATCGTGTGCCTATTGTTCGGCTTTACTGCGAATTCGGCCAGAACGTAATAGAAACCACTTGACAATTGAAGAAGAAATTCATGGATTTGAAACGGTCTTTTCCATTCATGATTCATTCGTGAGGTGTGGTCTCCATGATAATGGCATTATCTGGGCGGCAACACTTTCCAAATCCACGAGGTTTCTTTGAAAATGTTTAATGTTTGGTTTGAACCGACTGTTTCATATCTTTATGTAAACATTTTCACATTTCTGCCCATTAGACGGCCAGCGTAGCGGCCTCAGGCCACTAGTCTTTTCTAATCGAAAGTTTGGTTTTTTTTAGACCCCCCTGAATTCTCTGCATGTAATCGGTCGGCTTTTGCCTATCTGGTCTTTATCGACACGGTCGTATACAACCAGTTTCACCTCTAACTTAGCCATATCTTGCATGAAATATTCATTTTTTTAATACTTATCATTTTTTTCTCTGAAGATTTCCTTGAGACTGGTGACTCTAAGACAATTAAAGACAGATGGTGCAAGTCGCCTCGAATCGATATCGTACATTGCGTGTTACGAGCATAGCAAATAGAAGCTATTTTGGCATGAAAACCGTTGCATCGCTTCGAATTCACGTTACGTCACGTTGGGCTAAAAGTGTACGGGACACGGCCGAATCTTAGAACTGCATTAACGTGGGCCGCAACCGACACGGAGACTCGAGAGACGGCCACGGCCCTATTTCTCGATTCGGTCTACATCGTGTAGCTCGGCGGTTTTGGATCGAGTCTATTCCGTGGCTCCTCGGTCGAATCCGTCAGTCTTCCGTGGTTCCGTGGTTCGTGCGATACAGAGAGGCGTTGCACGTTCTCACACCGTGACCTGAAATTCCTTCCGACGCGACTGGACGCAGACGATGCCCTCGAGTACCTGCCCGGATACGGATCTGCCGTTCTACTGGCCACTATACCGATTGGGAATGGTTTCTCTTCGCCGCATGCTAGCCGTCCGACTTTAAAATAAAAGCCGTCATCGGTACGACATAGGACCATGCCGAAGGTCCCCGACGTTTCGACGATGCTCTGGACGATTGGCGCGTCCGCGTCGCGTGGAGACGGATGGAGAGTATGGCGTTCGGGACGTTCAGGATCCGCATGTGGCATTCCACAGGTACGGCCTGCAACCTCGTCGACGCTGCCACGAGCAGCCGCTCTCTTCCATTGCCTACTATGGATCCGTCTTTAGTCGCCCCGACTCGAGCGGAGTGCAACACGTACGCAGAGTCGAGTCGTCCGATGCGGACGGAGGGAATGAAAAAGAAAAAAAAACTCGAGAGATCGATCGTAAAGGCCCGTTCACATTGTCCTTCGGCGAGGCCTCGCCGCAGCCTCGCCGAAGGTGCAGCGCAGACCAGTCTGAACGCGC